GTATGTAAATACATACATGAATGCAAGCACGCCTACATGCATACATATAGATATATGCATACATACACACGTATATAAATATGCATGCATGCATGCATCCGTGCATGCATACACATACCTACATGGATACATACGTAAATGCTTACATGCATATAAATATATATGTGTGTAAATGTATGCATGCAAACATATATATATATATGTAGAACTATATGTATGTCTACATCCATGCATATATGCATACGTGTATACATACATGCATGCATGCATACATAGATGCATACATACATACACACATGCATACGTATATATATATATATTATAAGTACATACCTACACACGTGTATGCAATCATATATGCAGTCATTCATCTATCTATATATATACGTATAACAATGCACACCTACACACATGCATGCATGACTACATGCATGCATGCATGCATACATACACAGGCATGCATAGATACATGCATTCATGCATGCATGCATGCATACGTATACACATATATACCTACGCACACACATACCTTACATAGGCACATACATCATACATACATACATATTTGCGTAAATGCATACATACCTAACACATGCATGCATGGGTGCCTACATGCATACAGACATACATGCATGCGTATTCACGTACCTACATATATATATATACATACATACATACATACATACATACATACATGCATGCACACATGCCTACAGACAGATATACATGTATAAATATACATTCATACATACGCACATACACACAAACAACTATACATACATACATACATACATGCATGCATACATGCAAACATACATACACACATACACACATACATGTTTACTGACACACACACAGACATACACGCATACATGCACAACTTCATACATACATACACATACATACATAGATTGCTCTCTCTCTCTCGCTCCCTCCGTCGTTATACCTCTCTATCTCTCTCTCTCTCGTTCTCTCTCTCTCTCTCTCCCTACATAGATATAGGCATGCCGCAATATACATTGAGCGATAGATGTGAACCAGTATACGTGGTGCAATCTACGTAGTGCCACTCACCCTGCCGAACTTGAAAGTGCCAACTCTCGTGATCGCGCAAATCATCCCACTCACCCCCCCGCAACTTGGCTTGCAAAACCCAAGCCCACGCGGGGGCGATTGCGATGGCTACTTGGCGCTGGCTGGCGCCTCGCTGCGGCCGCGCTAGCGCGCGCAGGCTCGCGCGCAGAGCGGCCAGCTTGTCTGGCGCAACCGACTCGGCCGCGGTGGCGCTGACAGCTGGGGACTTCCTAGCACGTCCCGCAAACCGCGCTGACGCGCGGGCAGCTCAGTGCAAGCCGGTGACTCGGGCGGGCGCGATTTCTGGCGACGTCGACAACGGCAGACACGATGATGATAGTAGCGATGCTGATAACGATGACGACGGCAAGGCCAACGACGGCGCCGATGCTGATCACGCCGATGACGATGATGGTGTCCACGCGTCGGTGAGGAAGGTGTCGGAAAGATTTCGACATGCGCGCGCGGCCGACGGGCGCGAGTGGCCCGCATGTCATTGTTTGACAGGGATTGTGCCCCCCCGTCCAGCACGCGCGCAAGGGCGTTCGAATGATCATGCGCGCTAGGGGCCAATTCGGTTGCATTTGATCAAAGTTTTGAAAGCCCATGGTTATCTTAAAAAGTCGCAAGAACGCGTGCGCGCAGACCTTTTCTCGAAAGGACACGTTACAAAGCCATGTTTCTGTATATGTTCCGGGACATTCGATGTTGAAATCCTTGCGGAACCCGAAGGTTGAGGATTTCGGCATGCGCGCGCGACCAAGCGCGCGTGCACTTAGTCCCAGATTGTGAAAGGGTTCCTTGCCACTTGATGATGTTTGGTAAACGAGTGTGCGCGCAAAGTTGCTTTGCCATGGAATGGTACGAACTCAAAACTAGATGAGCAACGGGGCAGAAACAAATGCGACGGGCAACACAGCAAGGCGAACGCATAATCCCGGGGGGTAGATCCTAGAAAGGAAAGTATACGCGGTGCAATCCATGTGGTGCAACCTGTGTGGTGCGATCTGTGGTGTGCCACCTATGTTGTGCAATATATCATGCGATCTGTGTTGCGCAAGATGGTGCAATCTACATGGTGCAATACATGTTGGGCAATATATGTGGGGCAATCGATGTGGGGCCAGTGCAATATATGTGATACGGTCTATGTTGTGCGATATATGTGGTGCAATATATGTGGTGCGATATATGTTGTACAATCCATGTGTTTTCGGGAAGACGTAAGACTCGGGTTCGTGGGACTCTGGTTGGCCTGACAGGGCCGTCAGGAAAGTGACGAAACCCAATCTGAAATTTGACGCGAGCTGCCGCTGCAAACATCCCACGAAATCTGCACCGTCAAAATCCAGGATGGACTCGTCAAAAAGCGTCGGCAAATCCGAGTTCCAGCACACTCGAGTCTTCCATTTCCCCCAAGTAGTGCAATCCAAGTGGTGAAATACATGCGGTGCAAACTATGCAGTGCAACCTACGCGGTACAATCAATCACTTGCTCAACTTGAAGCTGTCCTCTCCACTGCTCGTGCGAACATCCCACCCTCCCACCCGCAACTTGGTCGCAAGACCTCTTAAGACCGTGACGGTAGGTACCAGATGGCACTTGGCAACGACACCGACGCCGACGACGACAGCGACAACAACGACGACGACGACGACGACGCCGCCGACAACGACTACGACGACGCCGGCGACGTCTCCAACGACTTCGACGACGACGCCAACAACGAAGACGACGACGACGACGACAACGCCGAACGACGACAACGCCGACGACGACGACCCCGACGCCGAAGCCGACGACGACGACGACGACGAGGACGACGACGATGACAACGCCGCCGACGACGACGACGACGACGACGCCGACGACGATGACGACGAAGACGACGACGACCTCGCCAACAAAGACGACGACGACGAGGGAGCAGGGAGGACGACGACGGCGATAACGACGACAACGAGGAGGGAGGAGGGAGGACGACGACGACGCGAACGACGACGAAAGAGGGAGGACGGCGACACCGACGACGACAACGACGAGGGAGGAGGGAAGACGACGACGACGACGACGACGACGACGACGACGACGACGACGACGACGACGACGACGACGACGACGACGACGACGACGACGACGACGACGACGACGACGACGACGACGACGACGGACGACGACGACGACGACGACGACGAACGACGACGACGACGACGACGACGACGACGACGACGACGACGACGACGACGACGACGACGACGACGACGACGAACGACGACGACGACGACGACGACGACGACGACGACGACGACGACGACGACGACGACGACGACGACGACGACGACGACGACGACGACGACGACGACGACGACGAACGACGACGACGACGACGACGACGACGACGACGACGACGACGACGACGACGACGACGACGACGACGACGACGACGACGACGACGACGACGACGACGACGACGACGACGACGACGACGACGACGACGACGACGACGACGACGACGACGACGACGACGACGACGACGACGACGACGACGACGACGACGACGACGACGACGACGACGACGACTACGGCGACGAAATAGGAGGAACGACGACGAGACGCCGACGACGGACGACGACGACGAGGGAGGAGGAAGGACGACCACGGCGACAACGACGACGAAAACGACGACGACGCCGACGAGGACCACGACGACGACCACGACGAAAGACAGAGGACGACGACGGCGACGACGACGACAACGACGAGGGAGGAGGGAGGACGGCGACGACGACGACGACGACGCAAGAGCGTGCGCGCACGCTTTTGTTGAAAATTCGTGTTGCGAATCCCTGTGTTTTCTATGTTTTTGGGGCACTCGATTTTGAAATACATCCGAAACCGAAGGTTTTTGAAGGATTTCGACATGCGCGCGCGACGACGCGCGCGCGCGCGTGTACTTCGTCAATTTGTTTGCAGAGGACTCTCGCGACGGCACGCGCGCAAGGGCGTTCGAAAGATTTTGACGTGCGCGCGCGCGAAGCCCATTTGGTAATGCTGTTTGACAGTCTTGAAAAACCTATGGTTTTCTTGAGATTTCGCAAGAGCGCGCGCGTAAGCTTTTTTTAGAAAATCAGTGTTGCGATACCCTGTGTTTTTGTATGTTTTGTTTTGCAAACTCGATTTCGAAATCCTTCCGAAACTGAGGGTTTTTGAAAGATTTCGGCATGCGCGCGCGACGACGCGCGCGTGTGCACTTCGTCCCATTTGTTGCAAGTGATTCTTGAAACCTTATGACTTTTGATTAACGAGTGTGCGCGCTCTGTATTTTGTGCAGGGGGTGGCGGGGGGGGCCGATACCGGTTTGGCTGGGATCATGTGAACTCACAAGTAAGATGGACATTGGGTCCGAATCCTGGGGGTTTTGAATCGGTTCCCGGGGGATCTTTAACCCCAGGGGTGGGAGGGTGGTAGAACCTGTTCTGTTTTTAGACAAGAGAATATATGCGGTACAATCTATGCGAGGCGGCAACGGCGCCAGACGACGGCGACGACGAGGCGGCGACGGCGAGCATGGAGCCGCCAGACCGCCGGCCAGGCCCAAACGACGGGCGGCGACGGGGCGGCGACGGGGCGGCGACGGCGGGCACGGAGCCGCCAGACCGGCACACGGGCCCAGTTCATTAGAAAACAAATCAGAAGCCCTCAGTGCAAGCACTTTGGGGGGAGTCTACTTTCTTCTGTCCCTTTCCTCTGCCTCTTTATCTCTCTCTCTCTCTCTCTGCTCTCTCTCTCTCTCTGCCTCTCTATCCCTCACTATCTCTCCCTCCCTCTCCCTCCCCTCCCCTCCCTCCCTCCCTCCCTCCCCCTCTCCCCCCGAGGCAAGAGCGCTGCCGGCCCCCTCCGTGCGCAAGGCCGTGCGGGGGCGGACCTGTCGGGGCGGCAGCTGTCCGGGCGGCAGGAGAGCGTGTCCAGCAGGCTATCCCACAAGCCCCGCTGGCCTCTCGGGGACGTCGGTCGTCGAAGCCGCCGTCGCCGTCTTCGGAGGTCGAGGGGGGGACGACGAGGGGAGGAGGAGGAGGAGGAGGAGGAGGAGGAGGAGGAAGAGGAGGAGGAGGAGGAGGAGGAGGAAGAGGAGGAGGAGGAGGAGGAGGGGGAGGAGGAGGAGGGGGAGGTGTTGGGGCTCAGGGCCTCCCTGGACAGATCCAGCGTATTCTTTCTTTCGGACCTCCTGGCCTAACCCTAGGCGAGCGCCAGCTGTGCCGCGAATCCTCCTTCTTTCCGCACTGGCCGCGTGGTCATCTCATTATTACATTCGTTTCGACCACGGCCAAGGCACCTACTTGGCACAGACGGGCCGGAGCAGAGCGTGCTCGGGCTCGTGCCATATTGCGTGTATATCGTTCTGCTAGGTTGATCAGTGAACATCACAGTTCTGGATCGGGGGCTTCAATAATTGCAGATATGAGTCGAGCTGCAGGTCCAGGTGTGAGGTGGGATTGCTTGGCGTCCGGCCGCTACGTCAAACCCCACCACTGGACATGCATGTGTGGGCAAGGATATGGTCAGAATCAGCGTCAACAGCCGGCACGTGGAGCACACTTTCATTACCTCAGGAGGCCAACTACGACAGTATCAACGTGCTCCGAATCGCCCCCGCCCACGACAGCCACTGGACACTGAGAAGCAGAAGATCAACCAATACATCGCCAAGATACATCCTTCTTCTCGTGTCGACTCTGAGAACAGTCCATTCTATGAGGAATGCCCTTGCGACGTACAAGGAGCTCGCGATTACAAAAATGGGATGAAATCCATATTGCATGATTTGGGTCGGTATGCTATTACTTCTCAAGAACTTGGCAAGGACCATGTCGAATATGAGACCCTCAAGGAGATCGCTGCTATTAAATACATCATCATCTCGACAGAACCCTTGACCAAACAAGTCAAAGATCTAAAGATCAAATTGAATAAGGCTCATGAGAAGAAGCGCACCATTGAAGATAGGATGCGTAAGCTCCAAGATGAAGCGCACGAAGCAGATCAAGAGATCGCTCAACTCAAGGCATCCATGGACAGCTTAGAGGACATCGACAATGACGACGAGATGGGCATCCATCGTCATTCCTCGGGCCTGTTCAGCATCCTGGGCCTCCTGTCCAGCAGCCTGCACGGCATAGGAATCACACTCCACAAGGTGAACGCCAGTGTCCAGCAGGGGGTCATCCGCATCAGGCCAACCCTGGGCTCCATAGCGCTGGCGGTGTGCAGAGTATTCCAGCAAGGCTTCCGCCGCCACCAGAGCAAGCGCCGCCCCCTGCAAGCTCTCATGATGTTCGAATGTATCACTTGTTGAGTGGATTAGCCCAGAAGCAGCAGCAGCAGCAGCAAGACAGTTTCATGGCTCAGATGTCCAGTGCTCTTCTCGACATGCAAAATCATATTGCTCAGAACGGTACAATATCATCAACAATATGCCGAATATGAATATGAATGGTACGGCTTCTTCTTCGGCAGGTGTAACATCAGTTTTCCCCGAGGCGAGACCCACCATCGTGGAGAAAGGTCAGAATCTGCCAGGAGGTATGCGATCCACGCCACCAACCAAGGGACGCGCCAGAAGTCCATCTTCCGTGCCAGCAGCCTAGCCGTCGCCTCCTTCGCCGTTACCAGCCACACAGATTGCTTCCACTCCAGTTGCGAAGACACCTATCGGTGGGCTACCTACCCCGCTGGCCAAGACCCCTATCGGTGGGATGCCCTCGCCTACCAGAGTTTCTCCATCCCCGACGCAGTCGCCAAGGAATGCAGAGGAGAAAGAGACCCTTTATGTCGAAGGCTTGTCGCCGACACAGATGCTCCCCGAGGCAGAGGATCCAGATATGCATGCGCCTCGCAACTCAGTCACCAAAGACAGTCAACTAGCCTCTACAGCAGAAGTGCATGCTCCAATCTCGCAGGTTCGAGCGAGGGTGTAGGAGATAGATTCGGCCACTCGGGATCCCGACACTAGCAGTTCCCCCCAAGAAGAAGCTCAGGATGGGGTGAGCCAAGCATTGATTTCGTGGGGAAGCACACACGTTCACAGTTTTGCTCCTTGGGACTCGGTCCAGGTCCCCCCTTCCTAGTGTTCCTCTCTCCTGCCCAAGAAAGGCATCCTCAAAACGTCCAGGACCGAACCCACTATCCCCTCTTCAGGTGTCAGCTTTGCTCCGTTAGGCAACCGCGTCCGAGCACCATGCTTGACACAGCGCTCTCGTATTGTGTGCCCCCGTTGCCACTCCTTGCGCGGCAACCATCAGGCCGCTCAATACTATTCTTCAGCTCAGCCAGCATCAGTCGCTCAACCACTTGGGTAGAAGTTGCTTGAGCCACGTATTTCCATTGAGGAGGACAGTGATGAGGAAGCAGGTGGGAGGGGATGTTGTTCCAATCAGCTCCTTCAGGCACCAGTCCACGGGGGCAACGGTATGGGGGAAAATTATACGCGACCACATGGGTATAGGCATGAGCGTACCGCCGCCTGTCTCCCCTCACCCCTCTTCAGCATGCCTCGTCCCATTCTACCGGCAGAGTCGGCGGTCAGCTCAGCGAGCTGCACACTCATGCTCGCGCCACTAAGGAGGATCGAGAGGAGGAGGAGGGTCATTTCACGTGAGAATGCCCAGGCATAGGTGACCACCGCACTGTTCCTTGCCCTCCCTCGTCTACCCCCAGTCATGCTCATTCCTTCTCCCTACGTTCACTCGATGAGACCTTCGGATGATGTCTTTACACAGTGCCAGCCTTCATGTGGCGAAGTAGCATGCTCTCTGACTGCTCTCTCGTCTGCTGCAGTCAGTCTTACCACCGACACACATCAGACAAGGCCCCCGTTGCGATAGAGACACAAGCTAACATGTACACATGTTGTGCCGCTAGAAGTTGCTCGCATCTTCTCGGGCATCCCGAAGTGTTGTGTTGCATGCCTAATCCTCCTCCTCCTCCTTTCAACTGCTCCCCCCCTGATCGCTCTAGAAAAGGCGATTACGCTACATGTAAGGAAGATAGTCCTCCTCCTGCCTGCCTTCCTCCTGCCCTGCCTGCTGACCACGACACTAATGCATCATCCAGTCCAGCATCACGCACACGTTGTCACATGGAAATGGATATGTTACCAGATATCATGTCTACGATTCTACAGCACGGCCCTACGCACTGGAAAAGATAATCTGGATAATAACGATCTACCCGACCACCTATCATTAGCAGCACAACTATGTCCTCCCAGTCATCCTTGTAAGTACAACATGCACTACGTTACAGATGGGTCCGTCGAAGATCTACGCAATGGCACAGCATCCTGGGGAATTATTCTGTGATCCGAAGACGCATCAGGGTTCTCTTCCCAGAGATACATTGATGGATATCTTAGGGACACCTGCAGGACTATATTACCTACAGGTTCTACCAGCAGCACCGACGCCGAGTACGTCGGAGCCGCTTGGGCTCTCATCGCAACGTAGTCCTCCACACCGACTCCCTGAACGTTGTGCAGGCGCTCAACGGGCAGAGGCCAACCGACTCAGGCCATGTGGGCCTGGCTGCTCGAGTGCTGTTTGACCCAGCCTCCGTGGCTCGGACTCTGCAGGTCCTTCATGTTACGAATAATTCTGGCCACCCCTGGAATGATTGTGCTGACCGGGTTGCTTTTTGGACCCAAGACGGTAAGCTGTCTCCCTCTTACGTCCCTCCCTCACTCACCCAGGTCACTCAGTACTCTCGTCGCCGTTCTCGTGGCCGTGAATGGGAATGGACCAAGGCTTCTCCTGGGACGATTTTGTTCCACAGGCCGTTGTTTCTCAGGTTCCTTCTGCGTCGTGCTCTTCTAGGGTTCCCCCTAAAAAAAGCTTCTATTGTCCTAAAACTCGTGCAGTACAAAGTCAAGTCGCTGTCTATCAGAGAAGCCTATGGTGCCAAAGGACGCAAGAGGCGGAAACGTAACGAGCTAGTCAGACTCCAACTTGCTGCTATGCAGGCCCACCTTGGTCTCCAGGAGACCGGGAACCCCTCTGGGACGCGGAATACCAAGGGAGTTTGAATTCTGCCTTCGGGCGTTTCCCCCCGTAAGGAAGCCCAGGACGGTCAAGGAGTCGAGCTCTGGGTCAGCACAGTTGAGCCATACGGGGACCGAAAAGGACAACCACTTTTCTTTGCCCCCCCCCAAAACACTTCAGGATAGTGTTCGCTTCCCCTCGGCTCCTCTTGGTGGCCGTTCGGCCCCCTGGACTTTCTTTGAACATCTGCGTCGCTCATGTGGACCCCACATAAAATCTGGCCCAAATGCTATTGCTGATGCTTGGGACACTCTCACTGACAAATTGCTGGCTTGGCCCGCTGACATCCTATTTCTCGACGCCAACGGCAGGACAGACTCAGAATCAACTGATGTCGTTGGAAGCCAACGCTTCGCTCAGGACACAGACTTCATAGGAGAACGGTTCCTGGAGTGTTGTTCCGACACCCAAGTATCTCTGGCTAATACCATCCACGCCAATGAGCAGGCCTACACCTTCTCGACCCAAGACGGGCAACAGCATAGAATCGACTACATTGGGCTGTCGAACGAATGCTCCTTGGGCTCATCAACATTGAAGTTGATCACTTCTTTGAAACAAGCCTGCCGACCCCCGACCACTTCCCCCAGATTGCCAATCTCGGCTGGGATGTGACCCAGAGGCCTCGTCCCTGGGGGTCTCCGGCGGTCGCCGCGCGGAGGCCTCCGCGGCGGTGCCCACCGGAGGCCTCCCGGGGCCCCCCGGAGGCCTCGGAGAGCCTCGGGCGGGCCCAGGCAGAGAGCCGAGAGCGCCGAAGCGCCGCGGGAGGCTTCCGGGTGCCGCCGAAGACCTCGTCCTCCAGCCCCCCCCCCCCCCCCTGAGGGGCAAAGTTAGGGTGGGGGGCCGGCTCAGGGTTTGGAAACATCGACCTGGAATCGGCAATGCGTCGCCGACAGGTGGGCGCTAGGCCCCCGATAGCGGATCCGCACTGTCCTGGGCGGGGTGAGCGATCAGACACCTGCTGGCGGCGATGAGTGGGCGATTCGGGGTCGATGCTGGGACTATCCTCCCCTGACTTGTCATCGCTCGGACGTCCACTCCCCGGCGCATTTCTCGATCTCGCACGTGCATGTTTCGCAAGATGGTCCAAGATGCTCCTCGACAGTCCTCGCCGAGGAAGGATGCACGCGTCCGAGCGATGCCAAGCTAACGTTGCCCCTGGCCCCCCCCCCTTAGCGGGGGCCTTTCTTGCCCATCCGCCATCAGGCCGCCGCAGGAGACGGGCCCCGGGCAAGTGGCGCGAGGGGCGCGCGCGCGGGCGCGGGCGCGGGCGAGGGCGCAGGCCAGGGCACTTTCGGCCCGGCCCTCGCTCAAGCCGGCGGGCTGCGGGCGAGGCGGAGAAGGATCGAGGATCCAGGACGCAGGATCAGGCGAGGACGAGGATCGAGGATCGCAGCACCAGCAGCTGGTCGACGACGACGACGACGACGACGACGACGACGACGACGACGACGACGACGACGACGGCGACGGCGACGGCGACGGCGAGGGCGACGGCGACGGCGACGGCGACGGCGAGGGCGACGGCGACGGCGACGGCGACGGCGACGGCGACGGCGACGGCGACGGCGACGGCGACGGCGTCGACGGCGACGGCGACGGCGACGGCGGTGACGGCGACGACGGCACGACCTGGCGGGTTGAGGTATACCCGAGCATCTCGTGGCCACCTTACGACCCGTTGAGCTGGTGCCGTGTCTTAGTCAGTCGCACGGCTGGCACGGCTGGACCCTGCTGGGTCCCCGCGTCAGCTCGGCCTGCATGTTGAGTTGTCCAGCGTCACGCTGACGGATATCGAATACAAACGCAAGCACAAGAGACAAAACAAACAAACAAAAAAATGCAGCTTCCCCGCCCGACGAAAAACGCCCCCAAAGACCCCGAGCCAGGCCGCCCACAGAGCCCCACGGCATGTCACGTGGCGCCCTGATCAGCACCTGCCCGATAACAAAGACGGCGAAATTGCTGATCCTCAAAGATATGAGATGCTCAACATTATCCCAAGGCAACGGCAGGAATACGACGATACCATCAAAACGATACAGGTCGGGAACGTGAGAGAACCGGATATGCCTGACATCCGCCACCGCCATCAGCTACTGAAAAAAGCAAAGCTACTGCTGGACTCCGCTGTCGGAATCAAACGAAGCAGACTGCCGATGTCAAAATTTGGATCAAATGGCACCTTCAGGATGCCCCCAGGGGCCTCCCTCTGCACGAACCTCACCTAAGACGTGCCCTAAAGAAGGGCCCTCCGCGCTTCCTGAACTGTGCGACTCTGGACGGCGCGTCAGCCCCAGTGCCTCTTTGGGATGCGTATCCTCCCGAAATTCGGGAAGCCCAAGGTGGCCCCTCCCGAATTCCCCCGAATTTCGGGCAACGGACGTGTGCCCATTTCACCCACGGAAATGGGCACCCGCTCCTTGCCCGACATTCGGGGAGGCCCAGGCTGCCGCCCCCGAATATTGCCGAATCTCGGGCGACGAGCAGGCGCCCAGCTCCCCCCCTGACATTCGAGGAGGGCCGGGCTGGCCCCCTCCCGAATGTCGCCGAAAATCGAGCAGCAAGCGGGTGCCCATTTCAGAGGGTGAAACGGGCACCCGCCTGCTGCCCGACACTCGGGGAGCCCCGGCTGCCCCCCCGAATTTCCCCGAATTTCCGGGTCACAAAATGGAGGCAGCTTTACCCCCTGAAACGGGCAGCCGCTCGTTACCCGAAATTCGGAGAGGGCCCGGCTGGCCCCTTCCCGAAATTCGGGAAGCCTGGGCTGCTCCCCCAATTCTCCCAAAATGTCGGGTCACAAACGGGTGCCCATTGCAGGGGGTGGCATGGGGGCCACAGGGGAAGCTCGAGAAACAGCGGGGCGACAAAAAGGGGAAGGTCACCAGTTGGTCTCCCAAGATTTGTTTGCTGTACGAATATTGGGTAACAGGCGGGTGCCAATTGCAGGGGGTGAAGTGGGCACCCGCTTGTGTACAGCGGAAAAAAGGGGAGACCAGCGGGTGAACACGTAACCCCAAAGATCGCCCAAAGAGGGCCCCAGAGGACCCCAAGGGGGCCCCAAGAGAGACGTCCAAGACGGCCCAAAAGGGCCCAAAGACGGCTCCAACAGGGGTCCCAGATGGGAACCCGAACGGACATTTAAAACCCTCGGCCCCGAGGGGCGCCCAGGAGGCCCCAAGAGGCCCCCAAAAAGCCCCCAAGAAGCCCCAAGAGGCCCCCAAGAGGCCCCAAATTACCCCCAAGAGGCCCCCGAAGGCGCTCCGAAGAAGCATCCCTGAGAACTCTTCCCCACAACCCAGGCACAGTGGCGGGACGAGCCGAAGGCCATTCGAGACCAAAGCGTGATAAGCAGCCGCAGCATGATCATTATCAACGGCACCAAATCAGAAGAAGTCACAGTATCGTCATCATCAAAACCATCATCATGACAACCATCCACCATCATCACCACTATCATCACCAACACCACCACCACCATCATCATCATCATCATCATCAGCAGCATCATCATCACCATCAACATCACCATCAACATCACCATCATCATCAACAACATCATCATTATCCTCATCATCATATTCATCATCAGAGAATCATCATCATCAGCATCATCATCAGAATCATCATCATCATCATCATCGTCATCGTCATCATCATCGTCATCATCGCCCTCCCCCCGCACCCTCCTACACCTCCCATTCCTAAACCTCCTCATGTTCCACAAGGTCCTGGTCTTTCCTCCTCCTCCTCCTCCTCCTCCATCTTCGTCTTCCTCCTCCTCCTCCTCCTCCATCTTCCTCTTCCTCCTCCTCCTCCTCCTCCCTCTTCGTCCTCCTCCTCCCTCTTCGTCTTCCTCCTCATCCGATCCGTGCTCTCCCTCCTCCTCGTCCTCCTCCTCCATTCCTCTTCCTTGCAGTAACTACTCCCTGTCGCACCCCGAGGTGTGTCAGTAGGGCGGGCCGAGCGCTTCGCCTGAGACTTCCTCACCATGCGTGATCCTTCAGCTGAAAAGTTGCAAGAGCTTCGCGGATCGATGGCGGCTCGTTTTCAAACTGTGGCTCTCGCCTCAGCGCCGCGCACGTTCGCCTTTTTAAGCCTGTGCAAGAGTTTCAGGGATGAAAGGCGGGTTGCTTTCAAAACGTGGCGCTCGCCGTAGCGCCGCGCAAACTCGTCATGAAAGTTCGAAAGAGTTTCACGCATGGAGGGCGGTCCCTTTTCAACATGTGCTATCGCCTTAGCGCCGCGCCAACTCGTCATGGACCTTTGAATGAGTTTCACGCATGGAGGGCGGCCCCTTTTCCCAAGTGCGATTCTCGCATTAGGGCCGCGCGCATGCGTCTTACAGAAGTGCGAAATGTCACGGATGGAAGGCGGTTCCTTTTCAAAACATGGCTCTCGCCTCATCAGCCCCGCGCCCAGTCGTTTTCAGAGTTCACAACAGTTTGAAAGATTCGCAATTAGCGTCCCAGGTATGGTGTTTTGGCACGATGTCGGACTGTCAGGGTGCAACAGTTACATTGGTTCGCGATGTTGAAGTCCCAGGAATGGTACTTTGGCACAGTTCAGGAGTTGCAAGCGGTTGTTTTCCAACAGGGTGTTTCCCACAGTGAGGATGATTCCTTCTAGGGGTCTATGACGAAGGAACTTGGAGGGAGGGTTTATTGCAATATCGTTGATGCGTTTTCGGTTTATACTGGTCTCCCTCCTCCTGGTCATCCACCCCTCGTCATCCTCGCCCTCTTCCTCCAATACCTCATCCCCATTCCCTCCTCCTCCTCCTCCTCCTCCTCCACCTCCCGCCTCCTCCTCCTCCTCCTCCTCCTCATCATCATCATCCTCCTCCTCCTCCTCCCACGAGCCCCTCCTGAGCAGGGCCATGACCCCAGCATTCTGCAGAGCGTCGATGTTCTGCGGGCGCGTGGCCAGGTCCGCCACCGTCTGCACGAAAGTGACCCTCGCCTCCAGCCGCATTCTTGCGTTGCAAGGAAGAGGAAGAGGAGGAGGAGGAGGAGGAAGAAGAGGAGGAAGAGCAGGAGGAGGAGGAGGAGGAGGTTGGAGGGAGGGA